AATTTTAATTAAATTCTTGGCAAAATTTCAATTATTTAAAAAAATTTAATAAAATACTTGGAAAGAATTCAATTATTTTTATAAATTTTAATGAATATCTCGTCAAGAATTCAATTATTTTTATAAATAGTAAAATTTTTCGCTAAAAATTCAATTATTTTCAAAAATTTTAATAAAATTCTTTGCAAAATTTCAATTATTTTCAAAAGTTTTTCGCAATTCAATGTTTTTAAATATTTACTATTTTCATAAAATTTATCAACAGATTTAATTATAAAAAAACTTGTTGTCACAATTCTACGAAAAGATTTAATTATTTTCATAAATAATAAAATTTCATTTACGAATTTAATTATTTTCATCGTATAATTTCAAATATTTTTAATACAATTTTAAATAAATACCTTGAAAAATGCAATTATTATTATTACAAATTTTATTAAAACTTGAGGAAAGAATTCAATTTTAAGAAACATTCAATTATTCAATAAAACAATAAAATTCGTTGCAATAATTCAAATATTTTCATAAATAACATTTAATTCGTTACAGAAAATGAATTATTTTCAAAAATTTTTAAGTTATTTTGCAAAAGAATTCAATTAGCTTGATAAATAAAATGCTTTGCAAAAATTAAATTATTTTTAAATTTTTTTTTAAAATTTTCGTCAAGAATTAAATTATCTTTATAAATAGATAGGGAAATTCTTCTCAAGAATTAAATTATTGTCAAAAATTTTTTAAAAATTCTTTTCAAAAAGTTAATTATTTTCAAAAATTTTAATAAAATTCTTCTCATAAATTCAATTGTTTTCAAAAATTATTATTTAAATTCTTCTCAGGAATTCAATTATTTAAAAAAAAATTTTATAATTGTCTTCAAAAACTTTATTCAATTATTACACAATCATTATACAATTCTTCGTAAAAATTGAATTTTAAATTCTTATGAGTTGTTCAATTTGAAAAGTTGTTTGAATTTGGAATTTTTGAAAATCTTAATTCTAATGAGATAAAAAATATTAAATATTTATTTAAAAAATAAGTTATTGATGTTTTTCAATAATTTTACTATTGAAGAAATTTGTAAATAAATTTTATAAAACATTTTTTTGATTATCTAATAATTTTTAGAGTGAATCAGAATATTCTTTATAGGGTCAGGGAAAAAGTCAAAGTTGTGCTTGGAAATCGGGGAAAAGTCAGGGAAAAATAAAATAAAATTTTTGTGGCAACCCTGTATAAATAAATTATATTTTTATCTTTATTTAACTAATTTTTATGGTTTTCTAAAAATCCCCTATTTTTTAATTTTCAGTCCCCTATTTCCCCTAGAATACATTTTAGGGACACTGTGAAGCCTGATTATTATAAAACATAAAGCTAACGATCACTCCGAGTCTTCGACTCGGAGTAATCGTTTTCTTTATGTTTTATAACAATATTTTAAAAGTTGATTAATTTCAAAAAGGTTTGAATTTGAATGTTTTGAAGAGTTTTAATTCCTACGGAAAAATAATAGTAATTAAATATTTAAGATACTTAAAAAAGAAATTATTGTTTTTGAATAATTTTACAATTACAGATATTCGTAAATAAATTTAACAGAACTTTTCTTTCAATAAAATTTTTTCCATTATTTTCTAAAAATTCAAAAATTTTCAGTTTCATTTTCAATTAAATATTCTAATTTCTAATTGACAAATATAATTAATAAACATTTTTTTCTGTATTTTTAAAAGGCTGAATTTTATGAAAACAATAAATTGAAATTAAGAAATAGAATTGATGCAAATTATTTTCTTATAAAAATTGAGAATTTTCTAGAAAAATATTAAGAAACGAGAATATCTAATGTTTTTCTTCCCAAAAGAAAAAAATGAGTTTGTAAACAATATTGTTATTGAGAAATAAAAATTATGCATAAAATGGGTATATTTCCTACTTGTTAATAAAAATTTTTGAACAATTAACAATTTTCTAGTATTTCTTATAAATAAAATGGAGAATAATTTGCATAATAATTTAGATCAGTCGAACAAAATTTGTTACAGAAAAAAGCATATAACAATCAAAATGGGTATATTTTTTATTTGTTAATCATAATTTTTTTTTAATTTTCTAATTTCCAATATTATTTTATTATAAATCGTGAAAAAATACCGGAATATTTTCGATTTATCAAACAATATTTAAAAAATCAAAAGCATACACAGAAACTAACTTCAAACTGCGGATAGAACGGACAGAATGGATGAAAGAATATGGGGATTAATTGATTAATAATAGTTAATATTGTAGTTAATTTTTTCTCAATAATTCTTTTTTGCAAATACTTCAAGTATATACAAAAATACCCCCAAAGAAAAACCCGGAGGTCTAAGTTATTTTTTCGTTCTGGAAAAATTTCTAAAAAAGCGTCCTCCTTCAATAAAACAGACAAAAGATTCTTGGAGTGAAAGAAACAAAAAAGGGGAAAAAAGTACAGGAACGTATCGATAAGAGACCATTTAAAGAAGAAGAAACTCCCCTAAAGGAGCAATGTTGGAAAAATAAATATCGAGTAATTTGCAGTTTAGTAAACTATTTGAAACAAGAGGATATCGAAACGTAGGAGAGTAGGAATCGAATGTCTTAGAATTTGCGGAAAAAGCAACAACGAATGGAATGCAACTTGGAGAGGAAAAAGTCAAGGAAACTCTCGAGCGTTGATACCACAGTTTTCGAAGAGACGACGCTACTACACATAAGACATAGTAGAAGAAACAAAGGAAGCTTTCTCTGACTCCTTTTGGTGGTCCTGCACGGAATTGGAAGCAACTATCCAATTTCCCAGAAAACGACGAAAAGGCGGAGGAAGAACGTGAGGGAAAAGAAAAGAGAGGGAGAGAGAGAGAGCGCGAGTACATAGGGGTTAAAGAAGAAGAAGAAGAAAAGGAGGAGAAGGAGGAGGAGGGTTGAATTCTAGCTGAGCGGTCCAGCGAGTCGGAAACTCTACCTCCTTTAGAGAAACCCTTGAAAGATTTGATAAACGCTGACTCGCGCGTCACTCGTGCTCATCTTACCAAAAAGCAGGACCCATCCTACCGACTCTCTCCCTAGAATTATGATTTCCTATGACCCCTGCCAACTTTTCACCAACCCTTCTCCTTTTCCTCCTGCCCCCCAAAAAAAACCTCCACAATTCACGAATTTTTCAAAAACCAGGTCACGAAAACTTTCAGAACATAAAAGTATTCACCAACGTCATGCAAGATAAAAAAACCTCACAATATGAATTCCCTTCCCCTACCATTATTTTTTGTATCGTCAAATAAAATCTCTCAGTTTCTCAGTTTGACGAAAACATATGGTTAAAAACCGTGTGTTTTTTTTTTTGTAAAAAAAATTTCCAGTCGAAATTTAAGATCAACTTTAAATCTCAATTGTACTTATTTTATTTAAGACTGCTGAATAAAACATACAATTGAGGTTGTTAAGTGATAAGAAATTTTATTTATATTATAACTTAAAAACCTTAAAAAAACTAATGTGAAATTTAGTTAAGTTATAAAATTTACCGTTTGTGTTTTATATAATTAATTATTAACTATAATATTCGTCTTATTCATTCTTTCATTCTGTCCACACCTGCAGTTAGTCATGATTATTCTTTTGTTTCTTTATACGTTTTGATAGAAAATAGAAATAAAATATCAAATCGTCACGATTTTTTTTAACTAAATTCGTGCTTTTGTTTTTTTATATATTTTGATAGATAATATTACATTTCTTTATTTTTTAATTATATCATTAATTTAATAATATTGTTTTTATTTTTCAAACAATTCAAGAAATTTTTTATTAATCTAAAACAATTATTAATGTTAATATTCATTATTTTATTCTCTTCTTCATTGAAGTTACAAATTATAAACACTCATAAAGGAAAATCGTAATTTAGAAAATAAATGAAAACTTGGAAAATTGTTAAGAATTTGTCAATAAAAAAGAGGAGTTATGCAAAAAATCTTCCTTTTCTTCTAAGAAAAATTTACATTTTGTAACAAATATTTCAAGTAATTAACAAATGGAAATTATAAAAAAAAATTCCTTTTTCATAAAAAGATCTTAATTGTTTGACAAATCGAAATTATTTAGCTATTTTTTCCTTTTTTCTAAAAAAAAAATTAAATTTTATGTAAAGTTAGCAAAGCAGTCAAAATTTTTGGTCGGAAATTTTTATATTTTAAGTATATCTTCTGCTGCTGATCAAAGTATTCGTCAACGAAAACTGAAGTTACACTTCAAAAAAAAAAAAAAACTTTAATTAACCCATTTAGTCCTAAATCTCCGTGTTTTTAGTACAAGTTCGAGCTTTCCGTTCTACGAGTTCCGGTTTTAAAAAAAATCGGGACAAAGGTTTTCTTATGGATTTTAGTGTCCTCTTTCAGAATCTGAAAGAAAATTTCAATTTCGATTTAATGATAAAAAGTTATAATTGTTTAAAAACAAAAAAAAATGCCTTTTTTAGTGTTTTTTTTTCTTTAAAATTATATTCTTTAATTGAAATCGTAGAAAAATTATTTTTTAATTTTATCATGCTCTCTTGTAATTAAAATATTGCTTAAGGTTTGTACTTTAATTTAACATTATTTAGCAATATTTAAAAATGTTATAAACAATTTGCTAAATATGAACTACCATCATAGAAAAAAAGCATTTTGTGATTATATGATGCCCTCTTGTAATCAAATTCTTTGTTAAAGATATAAACTTTCATTTAACATTATTTAGCAATTTTTAAAAATTTTATAAACAATTTTATAAACAATTTTCATGGAAAAACAGTTCAGGGCGGGAAGAAAAATTTGGATTTTTTTTTATTTGTTTGTTTGTCATTAGAATAGATATGTTAAAGACAAACCTTTGTCTGAAATTATTTAAAAAATTTTATCAATCTATTCACATATTTATGATATTCACAAATTATAATAATTATGTTTTAATTATAATATTTATAAATATTTTTTTTGTTTTTTCTATCTATTCAAGAATAAAATAAAAAAATTTTCTTCAAATCTATACTCGTTTCAACTGTACTTTTTCTATTGGTTAATATTATAGAATAAAAAATATTTTTCTTTCCTAATCTGAACTTGTTACACCTGTAGTTTTTCTATTGGTCAACAGCACATCAATTCGCTGATAAATAGTATTTTTTTCTTCCAATCTGAATTGGTTGCACCTGTACATTTTTTTATTGAAAAATAGTACATAAAATTTGGAGATAATTTTAAATAATACTCAACATGACCAGTATATAAGTTGTAGAATCGCGTAAAATTTTTAAACGTTATTTGAAAGTCTTCTGTTTCGTGGCATTAAGTTTGAAACAAAAAAGAAATAGTGAAATCCGTCTAATTATTCCTGTGTAATACACCTACCGTATAAATTTGACACCATACGGTAAGTATATATATAATTTTAAAAATCAAATTAATATTTATTCGCATTATTTTATTAGTAATATTTACAAATTGTACTAGTATTTGCGGTCGATTACATTTAAATATCAACTGGGAAAAGTGACAATGTATTCTTTAAGGATCATGATAAGCTTAGTAATAATCTGCTTCCTAATTTCGATGATCAGAAGCGAACAGAGTAACTTCACTATGGATAAAGTAAATGAAGTAAAACAAGTTTTGAATAATTTGGAAAGTCATTTGGACGCAACAGCTGATAAATTAAACGAACAAAAACTACCTAAACAAGAAAAAGGATTTTGGAAAAAATTTTTGCAGATTTTTGCGAACAATATACAACACATTCGCAATTTACTATAAAAAAATTCGTTAATTTATGGATAAATAAAATAATTGTAAACAAAAAAAGATTTTGTCTTTTACTGTATCTAAGCAAACATATAAATAAACAAGCATTTAAACAGTCATTATTTGATTTTTCAATTTTCATTTCCTATCTACAATCATCAACCTTAAAAATTCCTAAAAACAACATTTAACCATTTTTGTTTTAAAACTTGTCTATTATTTTAAAACAGATATTTTGAATTTTAGAAACAAGTTCGAATTTCTAATAAATAACTCTTAAATCCTTAGAAACAAAACTTTATGAAAGCAAAGTAAAAAGAATATTTTTTATAAATACATGTTGAAATTATTTGTAATTGTAATCAAAGCCTCAAAAATTTCCTAAATACAAATATTTATGAACACTTTGCTTCTTCGTAAAAATTTAATTTTATCAGGTATTAGATTATTTTCGTATATTATTGCAAAAGAACCCAGAAACCTCAAACATTTATATAAAAAAATTAATTGTGCGCCAATAAGATCTACTATTAAAAATAAATCCATTCCTACAGATATTAGAAAAGTCGAGATAATCATGAAAACGTGATGTTTAGACATAAAAACAGTACAAAAATATAACTCACCAAACACGATAACGATGAAATAATAAGGAATGCAGAGGACTTTTTGAAAACTCAAATGTACTCACCTGAAAAAAGAAAAATTATTCAATTATTAATTATTATTCACTAATAGAATATTTAATTAATTAATATTAAAAATATTTTAGTTAATGGAATACAGGACACTTTATTAACATATAATAATTATGTAAAGCAATTTTTATGTTTTGTTTAAAAATTACAACTTCAAAAATAAGTTGACTAAAGTATGTACTTTGACACCATTATGCTCAGTTTTGCTCGCTTTTGAATTCCGAAAAGTAAATAACAATTTATTGTTGAAGTGCGTAGTATTTTTAATATCTACTATTTTAAAAAAATTTTCTAAAACAATTCAATAATTGGAACAAAATTTCACAGTAATTCAATTACTTACAAATTTTTTATAAACTTTGCATTAATTCAATTATTTTTAATTTTTTAATGAAGTTTCTCGAAAGAATTCAAATAAATTCAGAGAATTGGAAAAAATAATTCTGAGAAATTCAATTATTTCGAAAAATTTAAATAAAATTCTTTTAAAAATTCTATTATTTAAAAAAATTTAAATAAAATACTTCACAAGAAATCAATTATTTTCATAAATAATAAAACATTTCTCGAGAATTCAATTATTTCAAAAAAAAATTGAATAAAATTCTTCGTCAGATTTGAATTATTTTCATAAATAATAAAATTCTTCACAGGAATTCAATTCTTTAAAAAGATTTTTAAAAAAATTTGTTGCAAGAATTCAATTATTTTCATAAATAACAAAACTTATCGCAGAACTTCAATTATTTTTATACAATTTTAAATAAAATGATAGAAAATTGATAAAATTCTTCATAAAAATTCAATTTTAAAAAACATGCAATTACTGAATAAATTATATATTTTTGTATTTTTATAATTGAATTCTCGGGAAAGTTTCTAATAAAAATAGATTAAAAAATGAATTCCACTTAAAATTTTAAATTATAATTATAAGATTAAACGAACTTACCTAAGTGAAGTTCTATCTTAATTGTATGAAGCGCATCCTCTGAAGATCACCATTCGTAGTACCCGCTCAAATGCACATAGCGCCACAGTGTTTACAGTAGGGAATTAAAACTTTTCTGTCTCCCATGTCACGTGACAGGCCTGCGCTCCTCATTACTTTAAAGTGTTGCTGAATTTGTGTATCGGGGATTAATTTTTATTAATAGTGGGAATTGAGGGAAGGGAGGGAATGATCTTCAGAGGAGGCGCTTCATACAATTAAGATAGAACTTCACTTAGGTAAGTTCGTTTAATCTTATAATTGTATTACGCGCCTCCTCCTTCAGATCACCATTCGTAGATGTTTAAAGAATTAGAATTCAGCAATTTATTATTATTAGTATTATAAACTCATTAGAGCGAAAATAATTATTATAGAAGTGCTCATTTGAAAAAGAAAAACAAAATATGTATATCTTCATTTAGATTTTAGAATAGTTGTTGCAAATACTGCAGGATCTTCCACCAATTTAAGGTCATAGAATTTTGCGAAAGTTTGTGAGGATGTTGTCCATCCGGCTGTTTTTTTGATAAGGTCGATACTGACTCCGCTTCTTTTAGCTGCAGACGTAGAAGCGTGTCGAGTGCTGTACGCCGAGAATTTTGTTGTGTCGACTCCAGTTTCAGTAAGGATTTCTTTCATCCATCTACTGAGTGATTGTGACGATATTGCCTTGTAAGGTTTATTCCAAGATATAAAAAGATTTGTTATGTTTCCACGGATTTGTTTTGTCATATTCAAGTAAGCTTCGAGAGCCGAAGCAACGCAGATTGTAGGATCTTCTTTGTAGAATGGAAGGACCAGATTCGGTTGTAGCTTGCCTGGACCTGAGGTTTTCAGTTGAGATGGTATCTTGATTTCGATTCGATTGTCGGACCTTTCGACATCATTAATGTTGATAGCAGTTAGAGTTTGGATTCTGTGACCTGTTGTAAGGGCAAGAAGAATAGCCAATTTTTTCGACATTTGTTGAATCGAAATGCTGTCATTGGGATGCCATTTTGAAATTGCATCTAATACTATCTTAGGGTCCCAGGTAGAGTTGTACTTGGGTAAAGGTGGACGGAAACGTGCAACTCCTTTACAGAAACGTTTGACATCTGGGTTTTCTCCGACATGTGATCCAAGTATGAGGGCAACGGCTGATCGCATGGAGTTTATGGAACCATAAGAAGCTCCCTTTTCAACTTCGTCTGTGAGAAATTTGAGTATATCAGGAATATTAGCTGTGAAAACTGGAATATTGCTATTGTGGCAGAAATTCCACCATTTTTTTAGTGCCACTTCATACTGCTTCAGAGATGATTTAGCAAGTGATGCGATACTCAGATTTATAGTCTCAGGTGCCATTCCTCTTAGAGAGAAGGCTTGTACGATAGTATTCCTCCCACCAGGGAAAGCTGATTCCATAGTGGATGATGCTCCCTGTTGGAAGAAGAAAGTAGTTTTTTATTAGGTTCGAAAATGATAGGAGAAGAATCAAACATTTTCATGCACTTGGGGAACCACGCTTGAGAAGGCCAATTTGGAATTACAATTATTCCTCTAGCACGATCGTTTTGGATTTTTTTTAAAACTTTAGGAATAATTGCAAAGGGTGGAAATGCAAAGAAAAAATATTTTCCCCAGTCTAGAGTAAATGCGTCTATGGTAAAAGAACTAGGGTCCTTTTTCCAAGAGACGTATTTTTTGCATTTCGCGTTGACTCTGCTTGCGAATAAGTCTATTTCGGGTTTGGAAAACTTTTTGCATATATCACTAAACGCCTCTTGCGATAAACTGAATTCGGTTTCTGGTTCCAGCCTTCGCGATTCGTGATCTGCAGTCTTATTTTTAGATGATGGTATGTATGATGCAAAGATGGTGATATTTCGGTGTTCGCACCATTGCCAGATTGTTTTAGCGACTTTGCTAAGGCTTTGAAATTGTATTCCGCCCATACGGTTAATATATGAGATCGCTGTGGTGTTGTCGATTCGAAGTAGGATGTCACAGTTTGTTCGATTTCTTCCGAAGCATTTAAGTCCAAAAAAGGCGGCTTTGAGTTCCAAAATATTAATCGGATTTTTTCTTTCCGATAAATTCCAGAAACCATACGCTTTTTCTTTTCCACAGCATGCGCCCCATCCTGATAGTGATGCGTCGGAGAAAATTTCTAAGGCGTATGTTTGGCTTCTTATAGGGTTGCAAACCGTCATAATATTTTGACTCCACCACTCGATATCTTCGTGAACGTGATTTGATAAAACTAAACGCGCCTCGTAATTACCATTTGTTTTTTGGAGAGCTAGAAATTTTTCTCTTTCTAGACTCTTCATATAGACCCATCCATATTTTGTTGCCTGGCACACCGATCCCAGAGTTCCTACCAAGGAAGCAAAATCACGGATTTTGTGTTTAGTATTTATTTTAAATTTAGTTAGTGAACTTTGAATCTTAACGCGTTTATCGTCGGGTATTTTTATTAGCATTTCAGCTGAGTCTAGGATAAAACCTAGATATTTTTGTCGGTGTGCTGGAATGAGGCTACTTTTCTCCTTGTTTATAATGAAGCCTAGCTGAGTCAAGAGTTGAGTCGTCTCTGCTATGTTTTTCTCGCATTCTCTTTTGGTGTTTCCAAATAGGAGAAAGTCGTCAATGTAGATAACTGACAATAAGCCGCGTTTTCTAAGAAGAGTTACTATGGGTCTCATAATTTTTGTGAAGACGTATGGAGCAGTGCTCAAACCGAAAGGTAAACAAGTGAACTCAAAAACTAAGTTTTCGAATTTGAATCTAAGGAATTTTCTACAAGATTCTGCAACTGGAACGAGATAGTATGCTTCTTTGAGATCTAATGTCGCTAGAAAACAGTTTGGCTGCATTAGATCTCGAGCAACTCGAAGATCTTCAATTTTGAAGTGCTCGGTACGAATAAACTCGTTGAGTTTTTTGAGGTTTAGTATAAGTCTTCTGGAACCATCTGCTTTTGGGGCTAGGAATATACTTGAGAGGAACTGTTCTTTGCATTCCTTAACCTTACGAATAGCACCTTTTTTTTAAGAGTTTGCTGATATGGGGCTTGATTTGAATTTTTTCTTCTTTTGACCAACGTGGTTCCGCCAGGACATTACTTTGTATTGGGGTGCGAAAAAAAGGAATGTTATAACCATTAATCCATTGAAGGACAGTTTTATCAGAGACAAGATTGTTCCATGCGGATGCGAACTTTTTCAGTCGACCCGCATGTACACTTACCGGATTCGTTAGCGGCGTCTTGGAGGAGGGATGTCCGATTTCCTTGGCTGTTGGTGACGAGTGTATGACCTCTGCATCTGATTCGTTGGTTTGCGATATCCCCCCGTCCTCTGGAACTGGTTCCTTTGTTGTTGGCGGGGGGCTTTCGTGTTTTTTGAAGTCTTAGCAGAAGAAAGCGAAGATCTGGCAGTTG